CTGGTGGTGTAGTCGGCTGATTTTTTGTCAGTTCAGCCTTATAGATTATGTTTAACCCGAGTGACCACCCGGTCAGCTACTGGGTAACAGGCATCTCTGAAAACATTAAAGCACTTATGCAAATATGTGTTGTCTTCAGATGTCAATCAGATTTTTTGCATCCAAGTCTGTGATTGGCTGGTTTTGTGGCACAAATATAACGGTGTAAAGAAAGAGTTGAACGCGCACGGGCAGAAATGTTGAGAGTGCGAGCAACACATTGCGAGCAAGTGCAAATGCAAAAACCGAGCGAGAGGGGCTGCTATTGTGTGTGTGTGTGTGGATAATAGCAAACACTGAAATACATTTCTTGCACGCAGCAATGAATTTTGTTCACTCAAATTTAGATTTTCTTCGCTCAAAATAAATTTATCCTCAAAATGCATCACCTGCACCTGCAAATATTTTTTGCGTGTGCTCAGAATAGTGGCACAAAAATAATGCCATAGGAGAGGGCAGGGAAAAATGGCTGGACAAGAGCAAGGATGTCAGGACTGAGTCTGATGTGGGAAGTGGATGTAAAGAATAGACCGAATAGAAAAGCAGGTAGATGAGTCATTATAGATCTTCCCTATTAATCTTGTGTGTAAAGTTATCTCACTAACAAAAGATTATTTGAAAGAACTGATCCATGATTTATTAAGACACAGAATTCAATTAAGTTATTTGGCAATTAAACTCAGACGACCCATCATACCAGATTACAAATCCAGAGATGATTTAAATTAAAACAAGAGTTCACAAAAGAAAAACATAAGAGCCTGGGAAGATCAGTTTTGTATATTATAAAGCACATTAAAATTAGCAGCTACATGACCAAAGGAACAGAATATTGTCACGGGAGTGGAACGGACTCAGGCGCAGACGGAGGTAGCACGGTTCAACGACACTTTATTAATCACACTGGTGCGCTATATACACGTGAAGGGGTGGGGGGGAAACACCAGGGTCCCGGGGATCAACAGGCTGGGGAGACACACTTCTTCGCACTCACTCTGCTCCTCGTCCAAACAGTCTCCACACAAGCAGCTCACTCTCACTCACGGGGTCCAGGGGTCACAGAAGGGCTGATCCAGGTAAACCTATTTACACAGACGAGGGTAAGTCGAAGGCAAACACGGGAACAGTAGAATTGCAAGAAGCCAGGCAATACTAACGAGAGTTACTCAATATTCCAGCGACGAATAGCTCAGAGCCCCAGCCTTAAGAAGAGCCAGAGAACTGCAATCGCTTGAGATCAGCTGCAGGTGCGTGGCCAAGGGCAGGAGCCCAATCAGAGCTCCGCCCAGGCAGACAGGTAGGAGAGAGAGAGCGAGAGAAAAACAACAACACTTGTGGCCACACTGGGCTGGCCGGGGAGGCACAGGGACCATGACAAATATAGTCAATTGATGAAAAGGTCCAGATAGCAAACAGGAAAAAGGGAAGCAGGACAGAAAATGAGCCTGCGATAAAAGCTTAAGGGCCATCAGAGGCCAGAAGAGAGTGATATGAACCTGCAATAAGATTTGTGGGTTGACAGAGGTGAGTAGGAAGAAAAAGGCCTGCAATAAGGCTGGAACGCTGTTGGAGGCCAGGCCAGAGCCTGCATTAAGGCTGCAATGTTACAGAGGTCAGGAAAGGAGGAGAGTGAGAATTTTGGCTCAAGGCCTGTCAGAGGCCAGAAGAGAGTGTGAGCCTGCGATAAGACTTAAGGGCCATCAGATGACCAGACCAGACCAGGATGGAAAGCAGAAAATCTCCAAAAGGCTGAGAGTTCAGGAAAGAAGAGAGAGCCTACAATATCGCTCAAGGGCCAATAGAGGCCAGGAGGAAGAGCACAGAACCTGCAAAAAGCTGAGAATTGACAATGGTCAGGAGATACAAGAGAGTCTGCAATAATGCTGGAAAACCATTTGAGGCAAGGAGAGCAGAGAGAGAGCCTACAAAAGAGATTGTAGACTAATGAAGACCAGAGAACAAAGTACTTGTAAACAGTAATAGAAATTTGAATAAAGGTGGGAAAAGGCTAAAACTCGCTGTATGTCTTCTTACCAAGAATTTAACATTTGAGTGACTTTAACATGAGGAGCAGAAACCACAGATAAAGAAGACGTGGATGAAGAGAGAAAACACATGGATATAGCATGATGCTGGAATTTAAGAAGAATAGACTACTGCTGATCATAACAAGACAAGGAACAAAGCCTTGTGAAGCTGCTGAAGCACCACCTGCCTAGCCTAGAGGTAGCAACCTTACTCAGAGCGGAAAGAGTGGTGCGGCTGGTCAAATAGAATAGGGTGGTTTTGCTCCATGATGAGCACTCCTTGTCTTGCACTTAGGGCCCCATCATCAACCGTAGACCCTCAACCCAACTTGAGAGACCACCGAGGAATCTCCAAAGCCAATTCAACGACAGCGTCACCTCCCCCAACAATTCAAAGATTTTGACATGGATCATGACATGACATGGGGTTTTGGAGACAGCTAACCACCTAGTTGGGGGATCTCATAAGCTGATGAGGTAGGCCCTCGTTGATGCAAGTTCCCAGCAGAAACATGCTTACTGTATGATTCGGGGTGAAAGGTCTTGTACCTGGGGAGCAGGTGTGGGCCTTCAACCTGGAGAGAAAGATAAGCATTTCTCCTAAACTGATGAGCCAGTGCGTTGGACTCTGCAATGTGTATGACAGACCTCCAGATGTGGTTTACATGGTGTGGCTGGTCGAATAGAAAAGGGTGGTTGTGCTCCATCGTGACTCTCATGCACTCTGGGCCCCAGCACTAACCCTAGACTCTCAACCCAACTTGAGAGACCACTGAGGAATCTTCTAATCTGACTCAACGACAGTGTCACCTCCCCCAACATCTCAAAGATTTTGACACAAACATGTGGGTTGTTGGGGACAGCTAACCACCCAGGTGAGGGCTGTGTGGAGTGTGGGAGTGTCTAAATCTAATTTCCCATCATGCCTCTGGAACACTGTGTTTCATACTGAATTTAAGAAATTTATGTTTACTGTTATGTAGCTGTTATAGTTTGTTCCATGCTGCAGGTCTGTTTAGACTTATACATGTTCTTTATGATGGAAAAGAGATGTATGTGTTATAAGTTATGCACAGTGATAGTAACCTGCTGGAAGCACAGTGTTAGTATGCTTTTTAAATGCAGAATAAAAGAGCACAGCCTTTGGAGTTGTAGGGTTTACAGCAGTATTTGAAGATTCAGTGCCTCCTTGTGAGTTTCTTGCTGTCTGATTTCTCAGCTTGTTGCAATATTGTGAAATTACAATACTTCACATTGAATCTGGCTCTATGAGTAAATGTATTTTGTTGCTTACCACCACTGAATTGTACTACAATTGTTTCCTAATTGTAGGTGATTGTGCAGCGCTGCCTCTCTGCCAAGAGTCTCTCTCACGTGAAAGGAGGTTGTATCCTATGTGGTTACCTGAAGATACTGCCCATGTTCCTCATGGTTTTCCCCGGGATGATTAGCAGGATCCTGTACACAGGTGAGTGTAGTGTGTGGTTTTAAGAGTCTGTTCTATGCAACTTATGTAGCAAGCTTACTGGTATATTTAAAGTTGTGATAAACTGAAATACTGTGGATTTTCTTGCCTTTAATCTAGATGTGGTAGCATGTGTGGATCCAGATGAATGTGAAAAACACTGTGGGACCAGGGTGGGCTGCAGCAACATTGCGTATCCGAAACTGGTCGTTGAACTCATGCCTAATGGTTGGTGACCTTTGTCTTATTAACTTTTAATAATTGCAGATTTTTTTATATTTCTACTTTTTAATCTGTTACTCTATTTCAGGCTTGCGAGGTCTTATGCTGTCTGTGATGCTGGCCTCTTTGATGAGCTCCCTTACCTCTATCTTCAACAGTGCCAGTACTCTCTTCACCATGGACATCTACACTAAGATCCGTCGCTCTGCTAGTGAGAAGGAACTTATGATTGCTGGCAGGTAAAACACATTTTTGTTGTTGTGTCTGATGGAATGATTGTCTAAAGTGTTGAATACTGATTGCATTTTTTTTCAACTATGTACAGACTGTTTATCTTGGCCCTGATTGGTGTGAGCATAGCATGGATTCCTGTGGTGCAAGCAGCCCAAAGTGGTCAGCTTTTTGTCTACACTCAATCCATCACCAGTTACCTTGCCCCACCTGTTGCAGCTGTCTTCTTGCTTGCCATTTTTTGCAAACGTGTCAATGAGACTGTGAGTTGCCTCCTTGATTCAATGTTTGCTTGCCTTTTTCATGAAATAAAAAAGAAATCTGTTCTTCAGTGCGGTTTTGCGCAGTGAAAGAATCCTTCACATACCTCTGGGATTTAGTCAGGAAAATGTTATCAAGAGCAAAGCTTTTGTCATTTGACACTTTAAGAAAAACAGTTTACGTTTTTGCTGAGTTTTAGGGATAAATGATTAAACCAATCCGTAAGTCTGTAGAGAAAAATAAGCCAAGTAGTTCATAGCTTGGCTCAGTAGATGGACTGGGAATAACATAGAGCTGTCAGAGTGCTTCTTGGCAAAGTAGTTATTTCCACCCACAACCACTGAAAAAGTTCAATTATTAATAAGTTGTTTAATTATTACAAAATTTCCACATCATGATTGAAATGTAAAACCAACAGATTAAAATGCAACATTGCTGTAAGCGCTAGGCCACCACGAACTATTCATCCCCGTGGTATCTTAGCAGACACTTACTACTTAAAACTCAGCAAGTCAGAAGGATTGTGAGCCCCTGCTTTCAAAGTCTAATTAAATTGCAAAATTTAATTGTCTTATAGTTATCTCTGGTTTCCATATAAATAATCACTAATCAGCTTGCGTAACATCCCAGTAGGTCCTGACCACAAAATAGTATTACACTTGGGCAAAAGTGGTAAATATTCCTTCATGAACTGTCCAACTACTTTTTGTAGACACATTTTTTATATTTTGGATCTGTATATATTAAACACAGGATGCAACAAGAGTTACAAATGCCGGTATGTTAATATACTGTAAGAATCATGATTCCAGCTTCCTGTTTAATATGCATCCAAATGTAGCGCTGATTCAATCTCCCTTTTAGCAAGAAGCATTTATCCAAAAATATTTCTTCAAATACAATATTATATACATATATATGTTGCTATCTATTACTATTTTACTATATTGTATTTATTTACCATTTTTAAAACCTTTAAACTTTTTAAAAGTATTTCGATATAAAGTAATATTTGTCCTTTTTTCTTTCTTTCCACAGGGTGCATTTTATGGCCTCATAATTGGGCTGTGTATGGGCTTGAGCAGGATGATTACTGAGTTTATTTATGGGACAGGTAGCTGTGCTATCCCCAGTAACTGTCCCACTATCATATGTGGAGTTCACTACCTTTACTTTGGGCTCATTCTGTTTGTCATCTCCGGCATCATCATGCTGGCAGTGTCTCTCATGACCAAACCTATTGACGACAAACATGTAAGTTTTTAATTTAAGACACCAAAATACCAATGCACCCATATATTTTTCTCTGTTGCTCCATTCATGCTGATGACACCCTACCATATACTTTCTCCACATCTACAACACCTCCTGACCTCTCAAGATCCTGTCTGACACTCTCTTCACCTCTACAGCAGTATACACATACTCTTACAGGGCTCTACACTAACTTTTTGCTTTTTGCCAGTTGCACCAGCACCAAAGTTAGGCACACCCAAATATTGCTTAACACCACAGTTTTAGATGTGCACTTTTTTTCTCTTTTTTTTGGGGGGATTGCTGTCCATACAGACAATATTGATTTGTAAATGATTAACTAACAATCTTGTCAACACAAAGTTCTTTATTTGGAGCACAGTTGTACAAGAAAGATAAGTTACTGAAAAAGTGCTTGTGCTTAAAGTGCATTGGCATTCTTTGGTAATATTGTAAACAAAATTAAACTTAATCATCACATCGGCCTCCTCTGACGACCTGTTTGCTGCTGCCTGCCGCTGAAAGGCTGTGGGGAGAGGGGACACTTGGGCAGTGCATTTATCACAGCATATAATGTGTTTTCTGGATATATGTATTTTTTCAGCATTTAGATACTGATGGCTCCGTGTCAGAGCACTGACTATGAATTTCAGACGGATCAGGCCTTAACAAAAGAGTTGTCAATCGTTCTTTTCATCTTTTCTTATTACCCACAGCTACATCCACTTCTGTCGGGCCTAGGCTACTCACTAGGGCTGGGTATCATCACCATTTTCTATAATCCATTCAATTCAATTCAACTTTGCCGCAGACAGTCAGAAATATTATAATTCTGATCCTTTATTAGTGCTGATACATGTGTGACTTCATCAGAATTGTGAGCATCACAGCAGATGCCTTTGTGTCAAAGTAACTGAGAATAAAACACAGAAAAAATGAAGGAGATTTTCCTGGCCTGGCTTTTTATAACAAAAAACTTAAAAGAAAACTTACATTTAAAATTATTCTGCAATATTCTGCAATTTTACATAATTTTAAAAAGTTTAAATTTCTTCAGTATTGACCAGCAGAAGTTAGGCTTTGTCCGAGGTCATTTAAGTAAAGTAAAAATTAAAAAAAAGACAGCGGCCGACAGCGCTGTAAACAACGGTAGACTGGTGGGTAATAAGCGAATGAATAATACCGAAAACAGAGACTTGAGATGAGAAACTGTTCTTGAAGTACAGAGAGAGAGAGAGAGAGAGAGCTGTGCATGAAGTGTGATTTTATCGTGGTGGAAGAAAAAAAAACAGAAAAAGTAAGAGGGAATTAATGACGACATTTATCAAATGTGAATCGTAGTTTGGATCGTCTTTTGCTGCTGGTTCAGTGAATTTTGGATGGAGAGAGACAAAACCTGTAGCTCTGTGTACCTGCTCTCATTTGCTGTTTGGTGGTTGTTTAAATAGTTTTGTGAGCTTTAACCTGAGATTCTGGTGTTTCTGGCAAAATACGTTTATATTTAAAAGTCAATTCAGATTTAATAAATCGATATCGCTTTATTCAAGCAACTCACCTCTCTCTATCCGCCTGCACTTTCAAATGTACTCGCGAAAGGCTAAAGGAATATCTAGACCAATCAGAGAGGTCCCGCCCCTGACTATCCCTGATTGGTTTAGACCACGACAGAGGCATAATGTGTGTCTGTTGTTGACCACACAGAGACTTTCAGAGTTGCAGAGTCTTTTTTTTCCACTCAAACAGTTGGTCGCACCAGCGACCTAAGATTTTTTTTTAGTCGTACCATTGAAATTGGTCGCACTCTAGAGTTTGAATCCATCTCCAGTGCTCTTGGCCTTGCTTTTATTCCATCTACTCTTTTGCACACAATACATCTACCTTCATTATATCCGCCAGCTCTCTCCCTTTACCAGCCATAGTTGTAACCAGCCTACATTTAATGTTGCCTCTACACTCCTGCTTTTTTTCTTCTATCTTGCTGCCTCCTAACACACCTTCCCTCTGTCCTCATCCTCCAGCTTCCACCAGACTGATCTAGTATGGGGATTTAACCTGCTTTAACCTTCATATCTGCTGAGTCT